ATGAAACATTGTTTGCAAACACTTAGCACTCAATGTCTGCGAATGTGACGCCTTTCCAACAAAATCACGTGATTTTTGTTTACGTTTACATCACATATGAATGCATTGAATGGTGTAATGCTGTCATTCATTCACAACTCATTGCATCCATTCATTGATTACCGTAACACTCATAATGATAATGACAACCGGATTACAGGTATATTAGAGGGAAATGTTTGGCAAACTAATGAACGAATTGATAACTAAACGCACGTATGATTGGTGTGAATGTGTGACCAAATGATGGGTTATTGGAGAGCCTATGACTCGCGAGTGTTCATCACTGAACAGTACAGCAATACATGACATGTATAGTGATGTCCATTCATGACATACAGTGAGACACCACTGAATAGACCGTAGTTTTTCAAGTGTGTCCGTTGTGTCTATGGATGTGCTGTTATAGCAATGTCTTCATTATAGAGATGGTAGATATGAGTTGTAAATCATTGTCATTATAATGCATAAAATGTACCAGTTCAGTACAATCAATACGTTTGTTATGCTATAAGATTTTAACCAATGGATCAATTGGTGGTGAAAGCGGACATATTATTTAATATTACAAATAATGACTAAAATATTTAAATAAATTTCACATTTATCTCAAATATATTTTGGTTTTATTGTCATTTAATATAAAATTACATTTTATTATTGGTTTAAATTCCTATGAATTATCAGATTTAAGGCAAAGAATAAAAGAAAATTATGATTAAAATGAGTGGAAATCATTGAAAAATTAAATTATAATAATTGTATAAAATATTTATATAAGAATTGAAATGAAACCGGAATTGAAGAAAGTATTTGAAGTCATTCTCATAAAAAATATTTGCAAACAATTTGCAAATTATATAAAAATGTGACAATCGATGGCCTCTAAAATACATTCAAAAGGATACGAAATATCAGATTTCAAGGCAATAGTGAAGTGAATTAAGTTGAACTCAATTGAAGGCTATTTTCTGAGCGCCAGAAAGAGTCGGGGCATATCACACACCCGACACCGACGGATGTACTGACCGCCCACTACCTCCCCGTCCGGATTGTTCAACAGGTCATACACTGTAAAGAGCGGCGGCTTTTTAGTGGGACCTCTATATGGTGTCCACGAGTCACACCACGTCTTGTCCACCACCAGGACCAGTGTTAACACGAATAACAGTTTCACAAACAACTGATTCAAACAAATCATTTATTATTAATAAGCATTACATTTAACATTAATTCTTATGAGACTTACGCTTTGATTATTCATTTTTGTAACTCTTTGTAATGAAGTCAAAACTTTTCTATTCTTTAAGTTTGCATAAGTTTTGCACAATTAGGACAACGATCTCAACAATCTTTCAATTAATGAGAACATAGTCATCACTTAAGGGTCTTTCCACTCATTTTTCCTGTTTTTGTTAATATTTTAAGCATCTTTCAAATAATACCTAAATTAAAGTCAAGTTTAATATCATTTCTATATTTAATTCAACACAAATACTGGTTTTTAAATCATTTAGAATATTATCCATTGAATCTCAAACATGACATAAACAAAATTTTTATTTACTTTTAATTTACAGTGAAAATAACATTCAATTTTAAAATATTAAAAAACATTAATTATAAATACAAGTAAAATTAATAAAAATTTATTATACAACATATATTTATGAATGCATTTAATAGTGAGATATATTTTAAGTTTATTTTATAAAAGCGATTCTTAAATTATGATTCATTTATCAAATTCTTAATAATTTATTTTAGATTTAATATAATTTGACACAAAATAACTAACTTAAAAGTAGACCATTTATCCGAATAATCCCAAGGGGTCTAACCCTCCAAGTCCACCACCTCCAAGTCCACCGCCTCCCAGTGGTCCCCCACCACCTCCTAATAGATCTCCTCCGCCCCCTCCTAAAAGGTCGCCTCCACCACCTCCTAAGAGATCGCCTCCACCTCCACCGCCTCCTAAACCAAAGTCATTGCCTCCGCCTCCTCCTAAGCCGCCAAAGTCATTGGATCCGCCGCCACCACCGTCTAAGCCACCAAAATCATTGCCGCCGCCACCACCTCCTAATCCAAACTCGTCGCCACCTCCACCTCCGCCGCCGCCACCACCCAATTGTCCCAATAGACCGCCGCCTATAATATAAAATCGTTATATTTAGTCATTTAGAAGAATATAACAATGAGTTATGAATAGATGAATACCTCTGTTATTTCCTCCGCCACCTCCTAATAGTCCCCCGAGTGGTCCGCCACCGCCTCCGCCCCCACCGCCTCCTAAAAGTCCAGCGAGTGGTCCTCCACCTCCTCCGCCACCTCCACCGCCTCCTAAGAGTCCAGCGAGTGGTCCCCCACCACCTCCACCTCCTCCGCCACCTCCTAAGAGTGCTCCGAGAGGTCCACCACCTCCTCCTCCCAAACCCAATTGTTGTCCCAAAGCACCCAACCCTCCCTGTCCTCCTCTGCCACCACCACCTCCTCCACCTAATAGTCCTCCGAGTCCTCCGAAGTCATCTTCGCGTTGAGCGGACGCACAGCCCAACAGAAAAGTCACACCAATTATGGCAAACATTGTATTCACAAACACTTTTAACTTCGAGCCAAACTTTTTTCAAAAGTTTTTTCACTACTTTTTCACTTAAAGCTCAAAACTGATGTGTTATAAAAATTGTCAAAGTATTCAATCCTTCTGTCTATTTGTGAAGTAAGGAACAGAAGGTTTTATTCATAAATACTTTCTTATAAATGGTTTTAAAATCTAGTCTTATTCACAATTAGTATTTCCCAAAATTTTGACACAAATACCCAAAATCCTTGTGAAGTTCCGCTCGGGGTTTCAACTTTTGTGACTATTTTCATAGAAATTAGAGGAAAACAATGTACGCATTGCTGACTCCCTAACTAAATAAGTTACTTTCAATTCTTTGCTTTTATTACACAAAATTAATTACTATACAGTATTATTTAAATCCATATTCAAATGTTAAATCTAAATGTATTACTTATCGATTGTGTAATAAATATTTGTATTCTAAACTTCTTTTTAATTACTTGTCCTATCATTGAAATAACACATAAAATAAGTGAATACTGTATTACTAGGTTATGAATTGAACAAACATTAGGAGCAATACTTCGTAATTAATTTTCAATAACTTTGTTTTCCGTTAAATAACTGTTTTGTATTCAATTACTTTATTTACTTTTAAAATTGATATGTCAACTAAAATAAACAATTTGAATTGAACTCTAAAATCTATTGTCTTTTAGTAATACATTGTCATTGATTGCATACCCCTAATGTAATATTAGATTACTTGTTAATTGATTCAAAGAATCATCTGGTTGAATTGCTTTGTAATTGTTGTTAACCGTAATTTGAAATAATTATATATTAGTAATGTATTGGAATTTAATAATTATCTTATTTGTTATATACTGTTATTTTAGAAAATAAAACCTAAGCAACAAGAATAGTAAAACTGATTATGAATGTCGGTTACTTTACTTTAGTTATATACTGTTTTCAAATAAATTAATAACTGTACGGTACTAGTAAAATATAATTTTCCTATAACTTTTAAAATAGTTCAAACAAAACGTAAATAACAATAAAATTATAAAAAATTATTCTGTTATGAAAAGCTAGAAAATTATTTTAAAAATCCACTTATTTATTATACAATCATAAGATAATTAGTAAACCTAAGGTCTCAAAATTTTCTAATAGAATATTTTAACTAGAGGTAGATTTTGGACTAATTTTCATAAATTAAAAAACTCAATGATACGGTATTACCAAAATTTGATAATTGTTTTGTAATCAATTGTAATTATTTCTTATTACTGTATAATTAAAAATCTCCTTCAAAATTAACCGATAGTTATATAAATCTTAATAATACTAAAATTATTATATAATATTGTCATGTGAAAATATAAATCTTTGAAAACTCAAAATCAGACCCTGGTAAACTCATTTTAATATAGCTACTCTACATTTGGCAAAGGCATATACAGTAGAATATCACAGTATATTGTGTTAAATGTGATTCTTTTCTACAATGACAACCTCCCGTTGGTTACCCTTAACTATAAATTAGTTTAACACACTTTTTAACAATAATTTTGGATTAGATTTATAATGTAAAGAATAATTTAAACGCAAACTTTTTATAAAGATATAAAGTGAATAAAGCAATTGAATACAACTAATGTGTGATTTTGTGTCCTTGAAATAGGAATCGGTTTTCAATTTATTCATTTTAAACGAGTTTTGAGTTGTTCTCCATTTGTGTGAAGTCTTATATAACAGCAAACGCCTTAACCTTAGTTTTCATATTCAATACCAATTGTGAGTCATTTCAGTCTTTTGTTTATTTGATGTCAAGAAGTGCTCACATATAGTGTATTGGATACGAATTGGTAATTAAATACATTAAAGATTAAATTAAATATGAAATTAAAAATAAGTAAAAATAAGATTTGTTTGCATCACATATTATAATATTCTCTTTAATTCAGCTTAAATTAAATACTATTACATTGTTTTAGAATTAATTATAACTTAATTTTCGAGTTGCTTTTCATAGAGAGCCAAACAACTCAATAAATAGTAATTTATGGAAAATAATAATTAAGTTCTCGTCAAAGATAAGTACAAAATAAAACAAGAGTTTAAAACAGATGTAGAAAGTGCTGCTCTTTTGCATAGGATTTCACGGAAAGTAATTGAATGAAACATATTATCAATAATTAAGTCCCTCTAAGAGCTGCCCAAAGCTTGGATAAGAGAAGAATTGGCCGTTCATTAAATGGCACAATGAGTGAGATCTGTGTATACGTTATGATTATATCAATATCCATATCAATATATATATATTTATATAAATTTACAACAAATTCTCTGACAAATCGTTATAATATAGGGCTGATTGAGGCACGTCGAAAATGGCATTCATTTATAAAAAGTTTTCCAAAAAACATTTACAGCTTTTATGGCAATTATGGTGACAATCAGACAAATGAGAGAATGAGACAAATATTTATATTAATCAATGAATCCATGAATGAGTTAATGCTATGCTATTTATGTGTTTCTATTAATCCTTCATTAATCGGTAGATATGGTGTTGAGTTCCAGTCGTTTCCGACACTTCAAACACATATGCAATACATAAAAGTGTTTCCTGTGTTTCGCGGTTCGTCACAACCTATTAGTCAAACATTTGAGACAATAAGTCAATCAATCATTGAGACAATGAATGGCACAACAGTGACAACAATATGAGTTTCAGGCACTCACTTGCAATATAGTGAAGTTCTCGAGCACTGAGTTCATCATATATTTTTCCGGTAAGTTCTTCAGCTTATGGATGAAATTAATCATATATTCACACATCGGAGACCTGTGTATGCGGTACACGAACCGACCGTTTTCGAAGCGCGCGTATTCTGTCTGTAGTGCACAACAAACAAACATTAGTATGAATGGCACGGGTGTGGGAATGGGATGGGAGTGGGATGGGTGTGTGAGTGAGACTGACCTCCACTTTCTCGACCACTTGTTTGCCGAAAGAGCATACTTTTGTGGAACAGGTGATCGTCATGTTCTCATTGCTCTCGTAGTGAGAGGTGACGCCATAGAAAGCTCCGGACTCGTCGAGCAGTGAAGTGTTGAGATCGGCCCAGAACTTGACCAAAAAGAAGGCGTTTTGTGGGCCCTTATCGTACAGCTCTTTGAGTCCGCCTTTCTTTTCAGGAAACTTGTCATAAATCTGTCGGATGTCTACGGATTCGAGCAATGGATCGGAATATACGGGCGAAATGATGCCGATGTGAACGAACAGGTGTTTGTCGCTGTCGTTGTCGTGGCGCTCCATAAACGCCGAGAACTCAACTAATCGTAACTTATGAGTGGCGATGGCTCGGCCCTCCCACGCGGGCCCAGAGTTAAGGTTATTGTTGCTATTATTCACGTATTGACCACCGGTTGGAGCGTTGAAAGGCTTAATGTCTTCATTGTTTGTAGGGCCGGCCGGTTGCCAAAACTGTATGCATAGAACACATGACATAAGTATTGCGATATGTGTTACAAGTGTCACAAACGTGTCTTACAGGCGATGGTGTGTAAGGCGTGACGGGTGGGGCCGTGAGTCCAAGAGTGGCCAGACCTGCGGCAGCGGCCGCCACATGAGTGGCCGCGTGATGGACGTGATGTGCGGCCGCTTTGTTCTGAAGGGCCGCGATCTGGGATGCGGTCAACGACTGCAACGCCTTCTCTTTGACGGACTGGTCCTGAGAAGAGTAAAATAGAGAGACTATCTGAGCGCTGGACATCCCGGACAGGGATGACATCGATTGAAGCGCTGCCTCTTTATGTCCGGAGTCCTATTGGGGGCGAAGAGAACAAAACCAAACAAAAAACAAACCAAAAGTTGCGGAAAAACAGTGCAAACAATAGAGGGATAGAGTGAGAGAACAGACTTGAGTGCAACCAAAAGAACGGAATGCATGCGAAACACACAATAGGATAGACAAGACATGCTTTGCTGACAGTGCTATCATGTGTTCATTGGGCTTATGCTATACAATCAAATCAATATGTAATATGTGTCTAATATTTAATGTTTTGTGTACTTAAGGGTTGAGTAAAAAATACAAAAAGTAAGAGAAGAATGAATGTTTCAATTATTTAAAGAGTAAGTCATCTGAAAAATAATCCACTTTTAAGAGTAGATGCAAAGAGTGAATGAATGCATTGATAATAACTGAACTCCGTTTCCTTAAATTAAAGTGCAGTCATAAACAAATCTGAGAATAGTTTACAATCATATGATAGACTGGAGAGTAGTTTAGTGTAGTGTTTGTGTAACTCATCTAATGGTAGGTATGGTATGGAAGGGATGGAAGAGCGCCAACAAAATTGCAATTCTGACAAAAATCTCAAATCCTCTGTTTGTTCACTCATTTGGAGGTTTAGTTAATGAGAGTATAAGAGACAGCGTTTCTAATCGTTTTTAGTTCAAATCATCATTTATTTCTAATCCATAATCAATACTTACTGTCGAGACTTTCATTTTCGATTGTATTTCACGGGCTTTCCTTCGGGCCAACACTTGTATATGACTAGAGACCTGCTTTCGAGTCCGCGTTTTGCCCGTTCGTAGCTTTATATAGCGCGCTATCAACTCATTGCGACCTAATGTGCAGAATAGGTAGAAATGCATTCATTACACACCAGTCCTACAAAGTGTTGTGTGTATTATACAGTACTATACAGTATTATGCCAAACATTGTCAATATAGAGTAGAGTAGAATAGTCATTGAGAAAAGTGAAGGCACGTACAGAATGGAGGGGTAGAGTCACACCTCAGACCTTACGAACATAGAAGTGGAGTAAAGAAAGCAAATTCAAACCATAGCCCAGGCCTACGGTTGTGAGTTGGGTTGGGGTTATTGGCATTTGTGTCAATTGGTGGACAAAAGCACACAAATGATCAATTGGTTCAACGGTTATGCCTTAGGTTGAGGTGTACTATGAATTGTAAGCAGAGCTACAGTTGGCCAGGAATAGGAACTAGGATTAGCTCGACTCCAATATTCCTCATAACTTAAGCTACACTCGTCTACAGCTGTCCTCTCTTTCTGTCTATAGATATGAAAGAATGGCTATTGTTGTGACAATTTTAAACTAATGCTAAATCTTAAATATCAGCTAATTTTATCAACTCATTGAAAACGAAATCTTTGAAAAAAAAGTATTTTAAGTATTGAACACAAGTAAAAATACGCTAAGAATCTACTGGAATATAATAAATTTGCTAATATAATGTACAGTTATATTGTTGAAGAATATATTTGAGTAAATATTTTGTGAACACGAATGTTATATTTATAATATAACAAACAATAAAGTTATGTTTGAATCTCTG